TTTGTAAGAAATCGACCAGCTTCGAATACTTCAAAAGAAGAAGAAGAAAAAGCATTCACAATACCCAGTGAATGCTTTTTTTGATGTATTTAGCTAATGACACTTATACATAAACAGGAAATTATATACTTCACAGGAAGAGACATCTGACTAAAAAGAGGGACCAGAGAATGAGTCTTTTTAACCAAGGACACCAATTTTTTTATTAACTCTTTACTTTTGTTTTTCTTTTACAGACAGTACAGCCAGCATCATTGCAAGACGACGCCGTTTCAACCACCTGACACAGGAGCTCTACGAGCTGCCCATTGTAGTGTGGGACGGTGGGGAGCCTTCGCTGAGCGGAACCAGCACCTTGACCCTGCGGGTGTGCCCATGCCAGCGCCATGGCAGGATCCGGATGTGCCAAGGCGAAGCATTCCTATCATCAGCAGGTCTCAGCACGGGGGCCTTGATTGCCATCCTGCTGTGCATCGTTATCCTGCTGGGTAAGTTGGGACAGCCACTGTGGGGACTTCGGCAGGGGGGCGCTGCCCGGGGGCAAATATATGGAGGCCATGGATGGAGGAGATGGACCATAGAAGTGCAAGGAAGAGTGGGAGGTTTTGAAAAGCTATGACAAGGGCAGAGGATGAAAAGGCGTGTGAGGACACAGGTAGAATCTGGAATGAGGGTAGAGACAGTTAGAAGAAAAGGAAGAGCATGTGAAGGACAGAAGAGAAGGAGAGCGCACAAAGAGGAGTTTAGAAGGAAGGTGACTAAAAAGGAGATGGGAAGGACAAAGACAGTAAAAGGTGAGAGGAATGATGATTGTAGGGTCAATACGAGAAGAGAGAGGCGGTGCGTACAACTGACAGGCTATTATGAATGACGCTGCGCCACTTGAAGACGGGAACTTTTTTAGTCTGAGGCAACTCGATTCAGAAAGAAATGGGAATCAAATCAATTTCTTTAAAATTGGGAATTTAGTTTGAGTCTTCTGTCTTACTTACAATCAAATCTCTCTTTTTTTTAATCCTTCCATCACTCCCTGCAGGGAAAGTGTTTGACATTGCATGTTGTGACTAGAAGAGCATAGGACAAGCTTGGGAGGATATGGTGACAGCCAACATAGATACCACTCTGCTGATTTCATGTGTGAAGGATGTGTTATGCGCCACGAATATAAAAGACCATCAGAAATACAGTGAAAATACACAGGGCTTATTTGGTGTTGCCAGCTTGTCACCGCACCGAGAAAACATGTCTTCGATGAAAATGCATGCCTTGTTACTATGGCAACCCCTCTTTGCAGTGACAGTAAGTGATTATATATAAACTTGGAAATATGATCTGGCCGCATGAATTTAGAACGTTGGACGGCAAGCATCAGAGGTCAGACCAAAAAAAATAAAAGAATCTTTGACATATATTGAAAATTCAAACAGAAGATTGAATGAAAATTGCTGAATTTACTAAAGGTGTGAGGATTGCTGCAAACCAAAGTACATCAGAACGTGATTAGGAAAAACTATGTAATAACAAAGGTTCATCAATGCTCCTCTCCCCTCCTCTCTTCACTGATTGTCTGTGGACATTAGTGCATGAAGGTTATGCATATTCATACCAGCTTTCTTCGTCCTCTATGCCAGCCTCTGGCTGAGACGAACAAAAGGCCATCACCACTGTTTGGTGCAAACCCTTGAGTGAGAGACACATGCTGAATCACTAATCATCAGCACAAGAAAGAGCCTGTTTTGAACAGAGAAGCAAAGAGAACAAGGAAGAGACACAAAATATCACACCTGCTTTCTTTTTGTGTTTCACCTGTGTTGTATTTTGCTTTCACACTTTCTAGTCTCAGGTTCTTTGTCTTTCACGTAGCGCCTCTCGACAGAGGGTCACCCGAAGAAATTTGAGATTTTGTCAGTGTGTCCCAGTCAAAAAAAACAAAAACATTCCAGTCCGTTTACCTTCCCATCATTTTTCTTGCCTGTGTCGTTTTTCATAATTCAACATCTTTTCACCATTCCTCAAAATTTGGCACCTCTCTTTTACCAAATATAATGAAGAAGTAGCTTAATGTCGGATTGAAATGATGGTGCGCGTTCTCTAAACGTGATATGCTCATTTTTTTAAATTCCACTGGGAGACTTCTTTTGCATGTCATACACTCCTCTCCCCCAGTACTGTCAGGCTAAGCATCTCAGTGTGTTTAGGCTCTGGTACTAGCATGCAACATGTATCTCGACATTTACCGCATAATAAACTCACAGGCCTTTAATCATCTTCCATTATATTGCTGTCATTGTGATCAGACCTCAGTGCAAATTAGGAAGAGCTTATGTACACATGGAGTATCCTAAGTCAAAGAAAGCAACACAATGTGCATGCACTGATTATTTTGAAACTCTCTGCAGCCTTTGAGAGTTTGCTTAAGCTAATTAATGTGCATTAATGAATATGCTATAAACCTTGGACCAGAAAATACAAAAATCTGTTTTTAAAACATGTAAACTATGGCTAGCTGTTTAGTAAAGAGAAGTGGTACCAAATCAGTGTATCGCCTAAACACGCAGCGCGCACAGTTTCAGTTCTTGCTCATCTTTGCTTGTCAGTGTGACGTGTCTGTGGCTGATTGTTTTCTGTTTGTCCGATTAATGTCCGTGCTTTATCTCTGTGCCCTCTAATAAGCCATTTAATTAGGCCTGCAGCAAACCAGAAAGGGATGCAAACTAATGATTCAGCTGATAATGACCTTTATGCAGCTTAAAATATTCATAAGCCCATCATTGTTTGGATGTAGTTTCCAATACTAATATTAACTCACTATGGAGGAAATAGTACACTATTACTTTACTAGCTGGGTTAAATGAGGAATTTTAGAATAATCTCTACAGCCTCCTTGATATCTAAACTCTTATGAGTTTGTACTGACACAGATTACCATAAATATCAGTTCAAGGGTAAGATTTAAGTTCATTTTAGCATCTTATTTTATGTAATAAGCCTTGAAACTTGCCTTTCGTTTTAGTACAAATAAAATGGCTACTAGGCAAAGTGTCAGTGTTAGTCTGATTGAGTCATTCTTTTCCCTCAGGACTCCATCTCTTATTTACAAACCACATTTTTTTTTTCTAATAATGATTTTAAAGCCTGTCTTGCATATTTGAAATATAAATAATGAACTCCATGGCTTGCATATTGATCCATAAAAATAATAGAAGTTCTGTAGCAATGTTCCAGTTAACCAAGTTTTGCTCTCTTTGACCTTTGGTTTGATGCTTATGAGTTTCCACTTACTTATTATATCACACAGGGCAAAAGTTCTAAGCTACTCCTCATTTCTTTAGTCTTGCTTCCAAGGAGCCAGACACATGGTCCATTGGTCTTGAGCAATAGGCTTTCTGAAGTTTTTCTGTGGACACTGACTGCTACTATTTCACTCATTTTCAGTCCAGTCCTTGTACCTGATCATTTTAGGAGGGATCACACAAAAAAGGAAAACAAACAAACAATTTGTGCTTTAGTTGAATCTATGAAAAAGTCCACAGATAACACAGTTTAACAGGCGTAACATAGTATTTCACAACAACGTGATTTCCAAAGACCAATTAGCCAAAGGTTCAGCGTGTCTTGGCATGTTGTCCAGCATGTCATTAAAAAGTTAAGGAAACTGGATAACTAACTGGAGGATAACAGAAAGGCTGCTGTGCAGAAGTCATGGATTTACCTCCCCAGAGTCTGGACCTCAAAATTAGTGAACCATTCTGGGATCATCTTGACAGAAAACAGAGTAAAAAGAGCTTTGGACTATCCTCCAGGAAGCCTGGAGAACTATTCCTGAGGACTAGTTAAAGAAATTTCAAGTAAGATTGTCTAAGACGGTTCATGCCATGTTGAAAAATAAAGGTGTTCATACCAATTATTGACTTTCAAGCTTGTTAGAATCCTTTTTTGCCTTATATGCTGTATTTCCATATTGCTCTACCTAGTTCCCATTTTTCTAGCAAAATATTAAGAAATGGGCAACGGCTAAAGACTTTCGCACACTACTGTAGAAACTTAATTTTATAATACAACACAGTCTTGTTGTATAACCTCTTATAATCACATAATAAATGTGACTTGTGCAACAGTCTCTACTGTAACTGACACAAATCTGTAGACTCAAATAGTGCTTCCAGTGCCATGAGTGGTATAATGAGCAACACATACACCCTATAGCTGGTATAGGCTAGCCACATGGAATGACCTGAATAGCCCATTATGAAGCTTTAATGGAGAAAGTGTATTCCAATATAGTTTCCACAGTGGACAGGAATATACTTTAAATGCAAGTAGATCATGAACTGTGGAGAGTGCTGTCTGGTGTATGAAATGCCAGCAAGTAATAAAGGTGCATTTTCTCAGAGTCTCAGTAACATTTTTACTGTATGCTAAGGTTGTTTACCTCTGAATCACAGCGAGGCATTAAACTGCAGATAGCGCAAGAGAGACGTGGTGCAAAACAGTTTTAACCGTATCAGCTACAACACGTGCATGACACAGTTAAATAAATAATCAAAAAATAAATTGTTTCCTTTTTCTGCTCAGTGATTTTCCCAAGTTGCCTCACACAGTCACATGGTGGCTTTGTGTAATTGGTTGCTTTAAACAAGCTGAGTGATAAGCACTGTCCCAGACAAATTGCATTTTTCACCCTCTATAACCCCACTTGGGCAAAGCACCAGGTGGAATAAAGTTTAGGGGGGTTTTGTACAGATTAATCACCCTTTAAAATATATATATATATATATTAAAACAGAAGCATGGAAAAAACACTCAGTGGTGAAACTTTTAATGAATTTGAGTGTAATCACTTTATTCATCAGGTGTATGAGGGTATAGTGAGACAGATTTTTTTTTTGTGTGTCTCACTGCACCAAAGTAGTTATCTTGCCATTAAAAAAATCAAATATTAAAGACATGAAAAAATGTCTCTTTATACATTTCACTATTTGAGTCCTCATGCTTAACTTAAGGAGGCTAGTTTAATTCAGATCCATAGATCTAATCTAATAAGAAGCCAAACAGTGTTACAAAGTTGCAAAAATAAAAGGGTGTTTTGTGTAATGTATAGATTTTTTTAGTTCTGATGAAACTCTGCACTTTGGTTTTACTTTTTTTCTTACCTACAAAATTGAACTACTGGAATAAAGTCTCCAGTGGTTGACGAACTCAAGTTTGAAGAGAGGATGTTTTGAGGTACACTGACAACAGAACTGCTTTATAGTCAGTTACAGCATGCCGAATCTACTGCAATATGTATACAAAAAAATGTTTTACTTGAATAAATACATCACATCGGGTAAATGCATAGGTGCATCCCTGAGGTTATGAAAGCTGAATCCTGTTACTCTTTATCCAACACATCACCTTCCCATCTCTCACCTTGTATGCGTTAGGTGCCTCATCATTACAGGCCGATCTAACACAATAGTGTGTTGCTTTTAGGTGAATATAGAATATAACAGTTAGATGTGCAATGCCTAAATGCACTATTTTTTAAAAAACATTATTGGTGTGAATCATTATGTTTTTTCTCCTGGTAGCTTTCAATGCAGCTTCAGTGTGAAGCCCAGTCGGCTCTGCAGTAATACTGATATATCTCACTTGTCTGTGCTAATGTAACTTAATGAACTCCTTTTAGATATTGCACTGCTGTAAAAATTTTCTTCCCTCACTGAAGCCATTTTATTAAATAAATGTTCACGTTAACATATTGCTAAGAGGTCATCATTAACCCAAAGAAGCATAACTCTCATTAGCTTAAGTTTCAAACTCTAGCACGTTATCAAGTATTACTTGACTTCATGACTTCATTAAGAGTTGGAAAATATATTTTACACTGTAAGCTACTTGTCAGTACAGACATTTGGCAACATCAGGCCGTATTTTCTTTAATGTAGATGAGCAGGCACATTCTTTCTATTCACATAAAACTTAGAGGTCATTGCATGAGAAAAATATTTGAAATGTTGGACATTTTGATTGAATATGAGGTTGAATTGGCTGCAGCAATGACTCTAATGTGCACATCGCCACCGTGTCAATCGTTAGCATTCAAATAATAATCAGGGATTCATTGCTAATGATTTCTAATGCTTCATCCTGGTATCCAGCTTTTTAGCCCTGTGTTATTTTAAGCATCCTGGTGGAAATTATATACTGTATATATGCCAAAAAACCCAGCTTTGGTGCAGTGAATTTTTTTAAAAGATATTAACACATAGCACATTAGCATCTTTTAACAGTCCTCACCGTGATTAGCACTAACACTGCAAAACATCTTTTTTCTGTGTTGCAGCAATTGTAGTCCTGTTTATTACTCTAAGGCGGAGCAAGAAAGAGCCCCTCATCATCTCTGAAGAAGACATTAGAGAGAATGTGGTCACCTATGATGATGAGGGCGGCGGCGAGGAGGACACGGAGGCTTTCGACATCATCGCTCTTCGTAACCCGGCTGCCGCAGAGGAGCTCAAGTTCCGACGGGACATTCGCCCAGAGGGGAGGAAACATTGCGGCCCGCCCCGCATCCATCGCAGCCCGTCTGTGGAGCTGGATGAGGTGGACGTGCATGAATTCATCAAGCAGAAACTAGTGGAGGCCGACATGGACACTAGCGTGCCGCCGTACGATTCACTTCAGACCTACGCTTACGAGGGTCAGGGCTCACCTACAGGATCCGTCAGTCCTTTAGACTCACCCGGCACACATTCGGAGCAGGATTTTAACTATCTGGATAACTGGGGACCCCAGTTCCAGAAACTAGCAGAACTCTACGGAGATCCAGAGTCAGATGTGACGACCTAGTCTGTGATTTCAGTCTTGTTCAAACCAAATCTGTTTGAAATCCGTTTTTTCAGATTTTCAGTGAAGGATATCAACAAACAGATATGCTAACTGTTTCAGTGGTTTCCAACTTATACTGTTGAACTAAAAAGGACTATTTTTATTTATTTTGTTTTTCATTTTGTCCCTTTGGATCATGGGTCGTTCATCTGGAAGCATTAAATCAGATTTTGAAAAGGAAAAACATAAATATGGGGAAAGGAAAATGATATTTTCCTTGTTGTATATTTTTTAATGCTCAATAAAGTCCTGAAATCCATATAAGTGGATATGTGAAAATTTGTACATTTGTCTTTTTCCACCAAGCATGGATATACAGCACAGCATGGAATTATCATGGTGGGAGGCATTACCAAAGCTATTCATGATTCAACACACAGAGGATGGTGCTGAGGCAGCCATATGCGCAACAATGAAACCTCCAGCAAAATGAGCTTACAATGTGTTTTGTTTATTTTATGTGGTTGTTAGGCTGACTTCTCACTTGTTAACTAAGAAAAAGGAAAGTACTTACTTATCCAGTTAACCATCTATACCACAATAATGTTCGAGAGTCGTGAGAATTCCCAAAGAAAGAAAGAAATGGGAAATCTGGTGAACACTAAACACCTCTCTATTTAAGATTTATAATTTTAGACTTTCATCTCTTTCTCATCCTATTGATCGTCTGACTGCACTATGTATTCCCTTATCCTCTTCCTCCTTACCTGTAGCCTCATTTCCTGAACTGAAGTCAGAAAACAGGCATCAGCATGCTTAAACATGCTTATGACCCCTCTTGCTCTGGACAGCTGACAACAAGGTAGCTAAATATCAACTGATGATGAACCTTTATGCTAGCTAATGTTAGGCTCAAGTATCCTAAAAATCACACTTTCCTGTAATAAGCAGATTGATTAAATTCCCACTTTGTAAGAGTTTATTTGCTAATTCCCTGAGTCTGATAATGTTAGAAGGTTCACTAACACTGACACAGCATTGAAACCAATAGAAAAGTTGAGGATATTCTCAGCAAATCATCATTCATATTGGTTAAAAGTGAACTGACTCGTCGACCTGTATCGGACTCATTTCACAAAGTTTAACAGCCTCATCCAGAGCAAACAGATGTCGACGCTTCACATCTGGGGTGAAACACTGACCAGAACATTTAAAGTATCTCTGGTACAAATGTAAAACTCTACAGAATATTTCATTAGCATATCTATTTTTTCTGTGTTGGTGTTATTCAAATAAATTCAAATATAAGGTCTCAAAAATGATTTCATAGTTGCTAGTAGAAAATTGCTGGCCATCCACTGCAGTTATAGGGAAACAGAGCACATGCGGCCATAAAGGGGTGCAGAGGGCTGAGGTATATATATATTTGCAAACAATAAATGTACAGTGCGTCTGCATGTATTCACAGTGCTTTGCTTGTTCCACATTTTGTCATGTTACAGCCTAATTCCAAAATGGGTGAAATTCATTTCTCACCTTAAAATTCTACACATACCATAATTACAAAGATTATTAAAAACTAAAATAATAATCCACAGATATTCACAGCCTTTTCCGTGAAAGTCAAGCTCACTTGCGTTCGTCTTTGAGATGTTTCTACAATTTCCAGTGTTACTCTGGCCTTTTGGAAGCTTCTCCCCTCTCCACAAATATTTCTGCAGCTCTTCACCAATCAAGCCTGTATGGCATAATGGCCAGATGGAAGCCACTACATGACAGCTCACCTAAATATCCTGGTCTGATCAAACAAAGATTGAACTCTTTGGTCTGAATGCCAAGTCTAATATCTGGAGAAAACCAGGCACCACTCATCATCTGGCTAATACAGCCGTACAGTGAAGCATGGCAGTGGGGATGTTTTTCTGCAGCGAGACCTGTGAGACTAGCCAGGGTCGATGGAAAGATGAATGCAGCAATGTACAGAGACATCCTTGATGATAACCTGCTCCAAAGCACTCCGGACCTTGGAAGGATTATCTTCCAATAGGACAACAACCCTAAGAACAGAGCCAAGATAACAAAGGAGTGGCTTTGTGAGCACTCTGTGAATGTCTCTGAGTGACCCAGCTCGAGCCCAGACTTGAACCCAACTGAACATCTCTGGAAATATTGGAGAATGACCATCTAAACTGGGAAAGTTTGGAAGGATCTGCAAAGAAGAATGGAAGAAATTGCTCCAAAATAGGTGAGCCAAGCTTGTAGCATCTTACCCAAAAAGACTAAAGGCTATAATTGCTGCCAAAAGTGCTTCAACAAAGTATTAAGCAAAGGCTGTGTATGCTTGTGTAAGTTAAATTTTTTGTTTTTGATTTTTCTAAATTTGCAATAATTTCAAGTAAACTGTTTTCACTTTGTCATTATGGTGCATTATGGGTAGAATTATGAGGCGAAAGATTAATTTAAACAGTTTTAGGCTACGTCCACACGTACACGGGTATTTTTGAAAATGGAGATTTTCCGTTTTCGTTTTAAAAAATAATCCCGTCCACACGTAAATGCAGAAATGAAGGAAAACGTTGCTAGGAACATGCCAAAGCAACAGGTGGCGATATATTCCTAACCTGTAGAAATGTTGGCCAATCAGAAGTCTAGAAGCCTCGGTGGGAAAAAGTAAACAAAGCTGGGGCATAGAAGCAGAACCGAGTCGTATGTGTGGAGGGACAGTTACTGTGTGTGTATATGTAAGCATTTAAACACTGCAGAGAGTGCACACAGTGTGACGTCAAAAAATGCGCACACCTTTGACGCTGCGTTTTCTCCGTTTTTCTTGTCCACACGTAAATGCAAAAATGGACTTTTCAAAAATATCCACCTTGGCCGGAGTTTTTAAAAATCTCAGTTTTCAGTGACCAAAAACGCCGTTTACGTGTGGACGAAAGGTGCAAACGCATAGAAAAATCTGCGTTTTCAAAAATACCCGGGTACGTGTGGACATAGCCTTAATGTGTGTGGGGGGGAAGTGTTTCCATTAATATTTTTCCTTTCAAGATTTTTTATTTTTATGTTTTTTAGAAAGAGAACACAGACAAAAAAGATGCAACCTCGATATCCTTAATATCCACTGGAGTCGCTTCATGGTCGACTTTTCAATTTTAGTGGTTGTTGTGGAGCCTTTCTTCAGAAGCTGTTTACTACAGACCGGACATTTCTGAAAACACAACTCAAAGTCGAAAAGGTGATGAAGTCAATTTTTGATCACTCTAGCTTTTCACATTCATATATTATAACTGGCCAACTCTTTCTTGCTCTCACTGCTTGATTTTCTCCTGCAAGCAAGGTAGAGAGAGCAATTAGTGTATTACAGGCACGCCTTTGTCGGGCTCACACAGGGATAAAATATCCAGGGGCATATTCAATCCCCAAAACAGTCCACACAATTTTGCTGTGGTTTCTGGATTTTGCCATTTTTGTCAAATGCCTCCACATAGAAATTAACATAACTAGCTTTTACACAGCTCTTTGATAAAAAGCACAATGTGCTTTCATTTAGGTTATTACAGGAAGCAAAACCTATTAAACACATATCAGAACCTGTAGAAATGTTATAGCACTACCCAGCCCTAACTACTTTTTTCTGACATGCTCTTGTTCAATGTTGGTTGCCTCAGAAATGCTGACGATGCTCTCGAGAAAGACAAAGGGAACATAATGAATATTTCAGACTCCCCCCCACTCATGACTATAAAAATCGTCTGCCTCGTTCTTCCTGCCTCCATGTTTCCTTGCTCAACATTTCCCTCTGCTAACAGAACAGACTTGACTTGCTTTTGTCATTTTTCACAATTTGATTGAAACAGAGAGACAGGCACAGAAGTTTTTCTAGCATGTTTGAGGAGCCCGAGGCTGGCCCCCAAGCAAGGGTCACATCATTCACTGAGCGCCAAGCAGAGAACTTCCTGAAACTGACATCCAGTGGCTACTTTTCCGTTTCTTCTATTTGAGGTTTTGAATCAAAATCATTTGACTATCAGGGAAAAACAGCAACAGTTTTCAACAAGTGAAAATTTAAAGTACAGAAAACATGGAGTCATGCTCCGGACGATGTTGGCCTCAACCTAAATGGTTGAATCATCTGCTGGTTGAAGATTGAAAGCTGTATGCATTTACAAAGCAGGTAGGGTCAAAATGTACTTTACCACATTTTCCTCTTTCAGCCAAAACATATTTTGATTCAATCTCTGTGGCAAATTGTTGCAATGTTCATCTATTTAGCAAAAATGATTTGTTGATTAGTTTAGAAACAATGTTTCCATCACCAATTAAGCATGCGTTGTCTTTGTCAGTCAGAAACATTCTCTGGCTAATGAGTATTCAGTTTTATTAGCGATCAACATGAAACTGGAATGTAGACTGTGGGATGCTTAGACTATGCACACTTCATCTATTACTGCCTAATCAAAATAACTATGATATACAACTTTTACAAAGTCTTTTCGTTAGTGTTACTGAATGTTGCCACTTTCACGCAGCCATCCAGTGTTTCTTAAATTGACATATGTAGCACTTTAAGTGGGGGAATTTGAGGACAATTTAAAGTCCACTGTGAAGAAGTTGGAGGCTCCATGTGTAGGTTCTCAGTTATCCAGGTTACTGTAGTATTAAGCACTTGAGTTAAAGGAAACTGGACTTCATTTTAGGTTCCTGGAGATGTTTCAACTCTCATACGAGAGGTCCCATCTGACAAAAAGGCTCTAAGATGAGAGGTGAAACTTGCCTCGCCTTCTACTTGTGCTTGTGATGTCTCTCTCAATCTCCTCTTTTGACCAATCCATCCATTAAGTGTCCTGCAACTGATTTTGGTTAATCAAGTTTAAACTTTCCTATAGTTGATGATGTCGAAGTCAATAAACAGCCTCAGGGGAGGAAATCATTTTACTTTCTCTAAATGATTTAGCTGCACAATTAGCCAATTTTACTATACGTAATTAAGGATCCTATTTCATTTGAAGGCACTGAGTTTGACCCCTAATGGATAGTGTGATCTTTATGCTACACTGCGGCCTCTCCTAACGAGCCTAATGACATGAAATGAACATAATTTCCCAAGTTGATGTAATATCATTCTATTGTGCACAGCATGTTCTTATCACGTCCATAGGCATGCAATTTGTGCAAAAGATAAGTCTTGTGGAGAGTGAAGCTTTTTAAGGGAAACAGATTTTTTCATCCATGACTGGAAAAACTAATCTCGAGGCAATTAGTTACTTGTTAGGAAATTAAGCATACATGACACTTACAGAACGAATTCTAGCTGAAAAATGAAATCAAATGGCAACTAA